ATATATATATATATATATATATATATATATATAATCTTTTTCAAGTGGATCTCTCGTATCTACTTTCTTATATATATATAAGAAAGTAAGTTTTAGCGAAAAAGTAGAAGAAAAGGTTTCTTTTAAAAAAACAAATAGAAAGAAGAAGAAAAGGTTAGCATCATTAATTGAATGTAGCACATTAATAAAAAAAATAGATTGTTTTTTTTTTTTTTTTGACATATACTGCTCTTTGTTTTTCTTGTCGGTGCATCTACATAACACGTTTCATATTATTTTATTTCCTTTTTTCTTGTAACTCGCGTTACATCCCCTCAGTTTAATTTATTTTGGATCATGGGTTTTACTGTTATTTTTTAAATGGAATTGCAACAAGCTTTTAAGACCTTTCAAGAACTATGTACAAAATGAGTTGATACTACAAATAAGACTTGTATGTGTATTTATTCGTAGAGTTCAATGGCCAAGAAATCTTGAATTTATTTTATGTCTCATCACCTATTAACTAGTAAACAAAATGAAATTAAAGAATATTGAAACTATTAAACGCATATAAAGTAGTGGACAAAAAGAAATAATAAAATGTCTGAAATCTACTTAATGAAGGCTCTAAATATTAACACTAATGCCCCACTGGTCTTTTTCACATGATCATGGACTAAACAGAAGAAAGTCCTTTTTTAATATTTAGAAATGTATATTTTTAACCGTTTCCAAAAATAATTGTTGATAAAATATATATTTAGAAATACATGTGTACATATTTTACACCACCCAATTTTATATTTTGTCCTTTCATATTCTCCATTGTGAAACAACTCAGCTAGTCCACAGACATCGACTTTTCCTTCCTATTTCTTTTCTTTTTGCCTTTTAATCATTTTTCCATCTTTATATATTAATTTCAGTAAATCATCTCATTTAAAAGTTTAACATATTAAAGATAATATATATTTTTAATTAATGATGTCTTTACCGCACCACCCACATACAAAATAAATTCTATTTCATCAACCAAGCAGGTTAATTTTCTTTGTTTTTTCTGTATTTTTGTGTGTGCGCGCGCACGTGTATTAAGTGTGGCTGCAAGACTTAATTCAAAACCTTTAATTGTTCTGATAATATATAAAAGTTTGAGTGAATCACTTCATATAAAGTTTAGAGATGACACCTTTTTTACTATATTTTATCTCTTCAGACATTATTTTTTGAAATTTTAATTCACCAAACTAAAAAGTGCGAGGGAGAGTAATTAGTAAATGATTGTGCTGATACATAAAGTCCAAGGGTATTGCATCACTAGCTCCTTTTTTTCATCACTAGCTTTAATTGAAAATGTCTAGTCCAAAGGTATTGCATCACTAGCTCCTTTTATTCATTACTAGCTTTAGTTTGTTATTTTGCTTACATCTTTTGATGTTTTTACGTACCCAATTGCTTTTTTCTGGTTTTTCATCCGAAGTTCAGTACCCGTATTGAAGTCTTGAATAATCTAGATTCGCTCCGCATAAGGCCGATTAAAGGGGAAAGTGTCTCATACGTGTCTTTTTTAAAAAAAAATTAGATCAAACCCAAAACCTCTGGTTAAATGTGTATGAATTGAAAAAAAAAAGTATTATATAACTGAGAACAAGATTCTTATTAAATTAGATCAAACCCAAAACATCTGGTTAATGATTTGTTTTCTAACAAAATTTAACTTTAAGAACATACGAGTTCCTATTTTTCATTCCTCTTGTAAAGGATTCTTGATTGACAGTGCATAGTGCCAAAAAAAATAAAAAAATAATCAGATTTACAACTGATAATTGAAAAATAACCACAATTTCAAAAGTTATCGAAATTTAACAACTTTTTCATGTAAAAATAAAATCTGAAGGGAGTTTCAACATAATATGCGGGAAGTTTATATGCAGGAGCTCCATAATCCAGCATAATGTGCTGGAATTCCAACATAATAATATGCGGGAAGTTTATATGCAAGAGCTCCATAATCCAGCATATTATGCTGGAATTTTCCGTGTGCTGGAGTTCCAACATAATATGCTGGAAGTTTATACGCAAGAGCTTCATAATTCTGCATATTATGCTGGAACATTTCGTGTTTCAGCAAAATAGTGACTATTTTTTAATAACTTTACAAACACTGGCTACTTTTTAATTACCAGTCCGAAAACTGACTAGCCCGTGCTATTGTCACTCGAACCTCCTTTTTCAAAAAGCGCAGCCCGGTGCACTAAGCTCCCGCTATGTGCGGGGTCCGGAAAAGGGCTAGACCACAAGGGTACACTGCATTTTTGCAAGAGGTTTCCACGGCTCTTTCAAACATTTCTTTTTTCCAGTTTGGCCATGTAAAGCAACATCTATTGACTGTTGCAAAGCTAAATCCATAAGATTATGAAAACAAACAAGAGAAAGAATCGGAATTGATCAATTGTGTGTTAAAGAAAGAAGGCCCAAATGAGAAAGATGGCAAAGTAAATGGAGGAAGTCACAGTCAAGCTTTGCTACCATTAAAACTTCTAAGCATTACCTATACTGCCTTTTGCTTTTAACTGCAGTATCCATGAGCCACATGCTTGACTTCTAATATGTTGCTACTAGTGGGCAGCCCGGTGCACTAAATTCCCGCTATGACCAGGGAAGAGCCGGACCACAGGGGTCTATTGTAAGCAGTCTTACCCTGCATTTCTGCGGGAGACTGTTTACACGGCTCGAACCGCTGACCTCCTGGTCTATGTTGCTACTAATATTTGAGTTATTTAAGACTATCATAAAGATAGGTTTGCGAACTTTCACCTCTGTATCGACTTGTAAAGAACCACAGTCACGTATTTGGACAGGAACCGGTTAGTTGAACCAAGTGCTACCACAGAAGGAGTACTCCTGCCTTTCTGCATGTAGAGATGGTTAAGCACCACGTGCTGAGGCCTCGAAAGCGGAGGTGGAATTTCCATGTGAGATGAAGGGGCATTAAGCAAGGTCATCTGTAGATGGGGTGGGACCACGGGCGGCTCCTTTGCATAGTCCTCAGCTCCAAGGTGCAAGTTATTGTAGCTGGAATCTGGGGATTGAGGAGGTTCAAAACCAGAAATGCTCTCAATGTCTTCTGGAACGTAATCCTGCACTTGCATCAGCAAGGATAATATTTGTCAAGTTATAGCACGCCAAAGCAAAGGAGTAACTAATTGCACTAGGAAATAAAGCACTTAAAAACATTTCTCTTCTGAGAGAGATAGATAGATAGAGAGAGAGGCATATGATGTAATCATCCCGACACCGACCTTCGACTCCGATCCTGACCCCCAACCTCGATTCCCAACCCTGACCCGTGACCTCGACCCTAACCCCCGGCCCCCAACTCTGACGTCGACACCGACCCTGACCCTCGACCAGACATTGGACCTGACTGCGAACCCTGACCTCAAACCTCGACTTCGACCATGACCCCCAACCCGACCTCCAATCTCGACATGGTCCTCGATCCCGGCCCTAAACCCCAATCTCAAACACCAACCCCGACCAGACCTAGACCCCGAACCCCTACCACCCTGCTCCTACTTCCCTTTCACCCATTTCGCCTTCCACAGTGTTTGCCTAGATTAATTCCAAAAAATATTTTTTGCTAACTAACCAAACACCAAAAAATAAGTTCACTTATTTCTAAGAAAATATTTTCTAGGAAAACATTTTCCTTCATACCAAACAAACCCTATTACATGTTTTTTTTTTGTTGAGAAACCCCATCCATATACCCAGTGGTGAAGGATCAAATACTAATGAACTCAGTTTAGAACTATCAATACATCAAATGATGAGAATAGTCAGTAAAGGCAGCTACGCAAGTTGAGTAAGACTTCTATGACTCATTCGAGCAAGCTTTGGCTAATACTAATTAGAGAACAACCTGTGTCATCAAACAAAGTCGGGCTAATCATGCTTGTACTTTTTCTTTTTGATACGGTAACCCCAAACCTCGCCCCCCAAAACCCCTCCTACCCAGGAGTCAAAAGTGGAACTCTCACTTTTGCTCCCTTGGACTCAAAGACCTAGGAGTCAAAAGTGGAACTCTCACTTTTGATCCCTTGGACTCAAAGCCAACCTAAGGTTGGGTGAACCACACGACAAAGGCGGGATAGCCTAGTGAAAAGAGCCCTTCGCCTCCAACCATGAGGTTGCCACTGTCCTCTGAAGAGGGGGTTCGCAGAACTGGTGTTTACCATATAAAAAAGGGTTGGAGCGGATCAAGCTTGTCTTGCTACATATTTTTCCGTATTAGTCCACAAGCGTCATGAGTTTTCATCTAAGTGCTAGAATGCGCTTTTAATCACATCAATATCCACTAGAAACAAAAGCAAGTTATGGACATCAAAATGAAAAAGAAAATCACATAATAGTGGAAGTGACAAAAACCAAAGGACTCATAAACAGCCAAAATAATCTTCCTTGCAAAGTGGGATATCGGGGTTACATAGGAAATAAGTAAAGCATTTACAAGCTTATAATTAACAGCAGCAGAATAACATGTGAAAAGCTGATCTTTATCTGTTAAGACCTATAAATATAATAAACAAATTAGTTAAATATATCAGGCTTGTAGCTGAAAAGACGCACAATTTGGTGGATGACAACAGCAGCAACAACAACAACCTAGTATAATCCCACTAGTGAGGTCTGGGGAGGGTAGTTTGTACGCAGACCTTACCCCTACCCTAGGGTAGAGAGGCTGTTTCCGATAGACCCTCGGCTCCCTCCCTCCCAGAACTCCCCACCTTGCTCTTGGGGTGACTCGAACTCACAACCTCTTGGTTGGAAGTAGAGGGTGCTCACCACTAGAGCAACCCACTCTTGTCAAATTTGGTGGATGACAATGATCAAATAATAGAAAAATAGTTTTGTGGATGACAATGATCAAATAATAGAAAAATAGTTTTGTGGCCATTTGCTTGCAGGCAACCAGTATGATGAACCATGAATCAAATAATCAATAGTGAATGGAGAAGAAACAGAGAACAAAAGGATCTAGCGTGAGAAATAATCAGTAACACCTAAAATTCCCTGGAAATAACCCCCGAGGTTAGGCTGCATAAGGCACTAAAGAAGCGACAAATTTCACCAAAGAAAAGTTCATCTTTTAACTCTGAATCTGAAAAACATGGATATTAACACCTTTAATTTTTTTATTTTTTTTAAGAATGAACATGGATATCAATACTTTGTAGCTTTCCCCATCCAAAAGACTACCCCTAAACAGAGAAAAAAAGAAGGTATTCTAGTATAATGCAAGCGAAGACTTCTTAAACAGGTTCTCTGCAAAATTGAGCAAAAAACCAAAATTATTTATTAAAAAAAATGAAATAGAGGTTACAGAAAAAAATCGAGGATATCAAAAAAATAAAAAAGGCCTATTAAATCATTAAGATTTATCTTTCACATTCCCTCTTCAGCTTTTTTATTTTTTCCTGACATGGAGGCAAGGCGAGGGGGTTTCTCTTTTAGAAATTTCTTAGATCAATTTTGGCCGAGTAAATGCATTAACAACCCCCTTTAAGCAACGTGATGATGCATACAAGATAGCACCCACATAGATTAACTATGTCCAGAGATGTTGCACATGTTCCCCTCGGGATGATAAATTAGGGATACTTTTATGAACAGTGGGTTTGATTCAAAAAACCATAATGAATTCTATTTGTCTATGATTTTCTTTGAGAAAAAAGAGACATACTCAGACATTTACTCCGTGATCTTTCACCGTAATTTCTATTGCACAGACATGAACAAAGTGAGTAGAGCTTTTTTTTTTTTACAAGGTAAAGTATTTTACTGATGATTAGTACCAAGAAGGTCCTTTAACAAACTGTGCTGAGCTTAAATGGAGAAACATGTGAGGATTCACATAGCCGACTCCAACTTGTTTGGGACTGAGGCAAAGTTGTTGTTTGTTGTTGTAGACATGAACAAACTAGAAAATAGTGAAAAAATGTGTCACAGCAAAGGTTCTTTTTTTTGTGTGTATGTGCACCGTGTGGTTGATGCTAAGATATAGTGAGATTCAGCAGAGATTCGACCTAGACGCTAGAGACACATGAAATCTTTTTCCATATCATTTCTGAATGCCAAATCTTTTGACAGCCCAAAACCAGTAGCATAAGTGCAACTCATAGGAGCTTTGGATCTATGTAGAAGAGCCCTATGCCATTTCAGAAACCTCTTAATTCGAATTATCTACACCTGTATAAGAATGAGCCATGAAGACAACTCCTTCAGAAGTGGCAGTCTCAGTGCCATAAGGTGAGTTCTCAGCATGATTGAAGTCAAATTCATAATTAAGATGTGGGTTCGATAGGCAGACACTACTTGCTACAAGAAGGCTCAGCTCACTCAATCGTCACAAATCAACAGTGTATACACAGAGATCTAACAGAAACGTGTACTCATGCAAGAGAAACTGCCAATCACATAAAAATGAGTATTCCTCCGTGTCATTACACACAACACAGTTCGACTTGGTGCAGTTAATTTGACTAATATTTTTTTTAAGAAATTCCCCAGGGCTATGGTGCACAGTTCGAAACTCAGTGGATAATGAGCCCTCCCCTCTACCCTTCTCAATCCCAGTTGGATCAAATTATTGCTTTGTGCCTTTGAAGAAACAGTGCAACACAAAACTAGACGTAGAAAATCAATGAATTCCTGAAAATGTAGTAACAGCCATGACAACAAGATGACAAATATACCTTCACGTCTAAAAGATTGTAAGCATTCCCTGCTTCATCCTGAATACATGGCATGTCAGGGGAACACCGCCATTGTCCATCAACTATAAACCTATATTGGTAAACCCCTGAAGGAAGCACCTTCAAAATGGTGAAATCTTTCCCTGATTTTTGCAGAGGCATCCTGGAAAAAAGAGCTTGAATATTTCAACGTTAACTTGCAATCTTGAAGCCTAAGTAGAGATCATGCATGAGCAAATTGTGCTTTGAGGTAGAATGTGGATGAGAAAATTAAATTTCTAACCTTGATTTCCAATTATCCCATGAACCCTCCACAACAACTTCTTTGCCCTCATGTGTCCAAGATATCAGGATTGGAACTCCTTGCTCGTCGGTTTCTTCATACTCTGAAGCAGTTTGCGGCCATGAAAGGCTTGGTCCGTGCCCCTCATCGGGTCTTTGTAGAGGAACCACTGGCATCTGGGGCAAACATTTGAAAACAAAAGAACATTGACCATACAAATTATCTTCTTTTTTGGAGAAAGGTTAAGAGTACAACAACAACAAACCCAGTAGTTTCCCACAAGTGGGGTCTGGGGAGGGTAAGATGTACGCAGTCCTACCCCTACCCCTGGAAGGGGCAGAGAGGCTATTTCCGATAAACCCTCGGCTAGAGAACGACTGAAAAAGAAAAGGTAATTGCAACAAGTAGGAATAACAACAAGATGAAATAAGATTGAATCCAAGAATGCAGTCAAACTCTAGGTAGTAATAGCCATTTATGGATAAAAGATATCATACTAACACTAATGCAAACGAACTGAGTAAGACAAAGAGAAACGCTCGACTACCTACGAACCTTCTACTCTAATCTTTGACCTCCACACCCTCCTGTCGAGGGCCATGTCCTCAATCAGCTCCAGTTGCGCCATGTCTCGCCTAATAACCTCTCCCCAAGACTTCTTAGGCCTATCTCTTAAGATAAATCAGACTAAGAACATGATGGACCTTAAATTATACACTAGTAATCTTTTAGAAATCAATAAAACATGAGAGACATAGATTCCACGCTCGCTGATAACAGAAATCAACATTAGAAGTGGAAAGTGTAGTTTAGCAATTGCTTTAGGAGGCTCTTCTCAGTTTCAAAGATTTTACTTTTGCTGCTTAATTTCAAAGTTTTTATCTGGTGCTCTTGGTTTTACTAATTCAGAAAATCCTCAAGGAGAAAACTCTAATTAAATATAAAAAAATTCCCTTCAATCAGCTCCCTTCACATTTCTTAGATAATTTGTCATATAGAATGAAGATAACAAATGTGTGTCTTGAATAAACTAGTTGAGCTTATAGACTTGACATTTCAAAAACCATTCAGACTTCAGAACCATATCGTTTTCATCAATATATACAGCACTTTAAAGTGATGAACTTTAAAGTGATAACCTTTATTGTTTTCAACCATCTATTGTATTACAATATCTCCGGTCTAAGTCTACTTGATTCCGCAAACTTCAAGCAATTAGATGTACAAAGATTAACATAACAACTGACTATGCCGCAATTCCAAACTAGTTTGAACCAATTAAACAGAAAAAAAGATTACTTTATACCTACATAAGCAACAACTAATATGCCTCAAATCCTAATAGAAAAAAGATTTCTTTACACCTACATGCAATTAGATAGAAAAAGAACAAAAGTTTACACCTAAACAAGCAAAACAACAACTACGCTGCAATCCAAACTAGTATCAACCAATTAAACAGAATAATATTTGAAATTTACACCTACATAAACAACAACAACTAATATGCCTCAAATCCTAATTAGTTGAAGTTGGCTACATGAATCCTCAATAAGCATTCCACTTCATATAAACTCTTTCATTCCAATACTAAAAACATGAGAATACTAAGATAAAAAGAAAAACTAAAAAGACTACCCCTCTGCACCCAAGGGTGTGGCTTAGTGGTCAGTAAATTGCAAGGAGAATCATGAGGTCTCAGGTTCAAATCTCATCGACGGTGGCGGAGCTAGAAGACTGTAGCGGGTTTGGCCTAACTAGTAGCTTTTGCTCAAACAGTCTATGTGTATTAAGAAATTCATTAATTATGAACACATTAAATTTAGAATCCAGTTACTAGCACCTAAAGTCATCATTTTAAAATCTAAAACCTATAAAGCTTCACCTCTGCCCGCTGGAGGCAAAAAATACAGGATAATTTCTTCTTATCTGGCTAAGTCTTGTCTGGTACATTGTAGGTAACGGTGAAATAGTCGAGATGATCACAAACTGACCCACAGAAGCGGATCTGCCTAACAAATGGTGGTGCCGGTGACCCCATGCTAATCCCACAAAATTTGATTTATGACATATATAATTAATTTAATATCTATAAAAGTATTTGCTGGCCCCCATGATAAAAAATGGGTCAAAGGTGCACTAGTTGGGCCTTTTCTTTGTTTCCTTGCTGTCAACTAGTAAAGTGTCAATTTTTGTACTTAATTATTATTTTTTCTCCTCTCTTTTATTTGTTTTGCACGGTGGCAGCAGTGTATTATTTCTTTTCAGTTTTTTAATCCCAAATATCCAATATTCTCCCCAAATCACAATCCCAATTCACGCCAAAACCCCAAAAGTCAATTGCGTCTCTCTCTCTCTCTCTTAATCTAGTTCTAAACCCCAAATCACCGGATCCTCTTTCTTCTCTCGATTCACTTCGCTATAATCTCGCAATTCCAGAATGGTATTTTAGAATCTCTGTTATCAGCGATTCTTCAATCTTATTTGCTCTCTTTCTCAAGGATTTTCCAAGTTTCTTTTACTCCTTAAGCAGGTATATTTTTTATTTCTTATTTTGTTGTTAATCTCAGTTATTTTATTTGCTTTCATCTTTATAATTTTTTTCTATTTTCCTCATTTGTTTGGTTCATTGTTTATCTAATTTTTGGAATCCTATTAACCTGCAGTGTAATGCTTTTTTTGCGTGTGTCATTTGGCAGATTACATTGTGAAACTCGCTTCAAAAGTCCGGAACTTGGGCAGAGTCGCAGAGACATTCAGTTGATCAAGATAAACTATTACATATTTTGCGGACGAATTGGTATGTTTTCATTTTATATTATTGTAAGTTAGAAGGGGTGTGATTCCCCTACTATATTATGAATTTGTAAGTGTTCGTGATTCTCTTATATTTGAATGTGAAAGGGGTGTGAATGTGTGATTTCATTATGTGATTCCCCTTTTAGTGAATTCTTTGTTATGATTAAGATTGATTTGAATTTATAAAATGGATATGGTCTAAGATTGAATAAATGCTAGTATTTAATTTTGTAGGAACAATTTTTTCGAACATCAAAATGGATAGATACTTGATCAAGTTAAACAATGGACAACCAAGTTCTAGTTCATGTCAACCATATGCTAATTCACAAATAGTTCCAGAAGTTCATAGAGAAGCAATTCCTTCCCCTCCTTCAAATGTTAATAGTGTTCTTAGGTTTGGATCTCTTGAAACAGATCCTAAAGAAAGAATACCCATTTATCATTATAGTCCTAACATTCGAGATGAAGTGAGAAGATATTTTATTCAAAGAGGGCCTTGTCAACCGATTGGTCATGACTTCCCTAAAACTAAGTTTGGGAACAAAATGCGTCAATTCAATCCCGATTGGTTTAAAGGTTCAGTTTTTTTTTTGTTTTTTTTTTATAACCGTGGTGTCCGGGCCAGCTTGCGCGCACCTCGACTAATTCCACGGGATACCTGTCACCTCCCACCAGCAACAGGTATCAGGTAACTCTATCCACCAAGGCTTGGATAGATGGAAGAAATCACCTAGTATTTGCCTCCGCTGGGATTTGAACCTGAGACCTCATGGTTCTCACCCACTTCATTGACCACTAGGCCACACCCTTAGGTGCTTAAAGGTTCATATTCTCAATGGTTGGAGTATAGCATAAAAGCAGATGCTACATTTTGTTTGTGTTGCTATTTATTTAAGAATGAACTTGAGCGTAATGCATTTGCAACTGTAAGTAATGATGCTATTATGGATCGGTTTCAAAATATGAAAGCTCGTCGAGTACAAATGTAAATTGACGATGTATTTTTGAGATAATGGAATTGGATAATTTTTGCTAGTCAAGTTGTTGATTTTGTAAAATTTTATATCATGAAACTGAATATTTATCTTTGAAGCATGTTTGTCTTTGAAGTAATGGTGCACCCATCTTCTCAAATTCCTGTATTCGCCTCTGCTGACCCAAACAACACTGTCAAATTAAAAAAAGAAAAGACTAACCCCCAACTCCCACCCCACCCCACATATCCAAGAAAGGGAAACAAAATTAACAAACTAACCTCAGGTCGAAACATCAAAGGTGAAGCAGAAGCCCTAGGACTGGACGGTGGAGATTGACCCATGAACTCTCCATCAACCTGCTGAACGGCCATAATTTCTTGGGCCCCACCAGAATCAACCTCATCAACCTCCTCAACCCCAGATGGGATAATATTGCCTCCGCCTTCTTCTAAATCTTCTCTTCCATTAACATTCCCCATTATTCTTTGAATCTACAAAAAAAAGGAGATTCCTTGTACCACTATATATGATTTATTAATAACATCAAAGAATATTATACTGTGTGAATTAATTATGTATGGAGGATCTAAAGACAAAGGGTGCTAAGATTAGATGAAATTGTAGGATTTGATTGGGTTTTGTTTTTGTGTATGATTATGGAATTAGATTAGATTAAGTGCAGATGAGTGAAGTGAGGAACACAAAAGAAAGCCTGAAAAAGGAAAGGCAGAGGTTAAAGATGATATTTTAGGTGTATGGAACTAATTACTTGTGGTTCAATGGATTGAGTGAAATAATCATTGTGTTATAAGGTCTGCTATCATTTTATTAAATGTTTAATTTATCTTTTGAGTCATATATAATTAATTAATCTTGATATAATTTAATACATCAAACAATAATATTACGTGTTTGTTTAAAAAGAGTTCGAAATTTTCAGGGTTTGTTTATTGAAAAATATAGTACTAGTTTTATGGTATACTTTTTAAAAAAAAATTTTTTTACTTTTAACCTGCGCTAGAAATTATTTATATTCATCTATTTTATATATATACAAAATATAAATTTATATATATAAAAAAAAATATACATTTTAGACTATTTTTTTAGAACGGTTATATAATGTCATTTTTCCTTTAAAAAAATCAAGAGCTTTTTTTACGCTCACAAAACGCACACAAAATTTCAATAAGATTCCAATTATCCGAACTTGTTTGTGGCTAATTTTGTATCAAGCCTCGTTTTCTCCAAAAAATCTTTTATCTCAAAAAAGTGAATTTGAACTTTTGCAATATATACAATTCCAAACGTGAAATTCTCGAGTCTCATATGTGTAGGTGTGGATCTACAATATAAATTACGAATTCAACTTAACTCAGTAGCTATGGCCTAGTCCGATGTATGTGTTACATTCTCGTAAGCGTATGAAATATTAAATTCCGAACTTCATTATTAGCCATTGAAGTTGTTAAAATTTCAAATTCATAAGATTAGTTCCGGGACTCCCTCTACATGTGCGTTGTTTAACACTAAGGGATCATTTGGTAGAATATAGTAGGGAAAATAAAATATCCATTAGCTTTGGTATTATTAATTCCTTATTTGATAGTAGATTTTAACCTATGTTTAACTAATATATGTATAATGTATTAGTTATACACCATATTCAATATTATTCTTATACATAGCAAATTATGGCATTAGCAATATCATGATTTATAATACATGGATAAGTATGTATAAAACAAAACTGCTCTTTCAAAACTTTTTTCAAATACTTTCCAAAGAATGTGGAGGTTATTTTTGTAAACAAAGATTTTTTTTAAAAAAAATATTATACAATGCATGTTATTTTTAATACACTAAACCAAACAGTCGATAAAAAGTAATTCTAGCAAACAACCTATTCAGTACTATTCTTAAAAATGATCACAATATTAATTAAATAAAATAGAATCTTAAAAAAGTGCAAATTTGTTATAATGTATTTTATTTACATTAAAAATTTGGTAAAAAAAGATTACAAAAATAAGCATAATATCCAAAATCACGAGGGAGGTCAGTGTGATAGAACGAAATGTGAGGAGATGTCTCTGAAATTATCCGTAAATTCTATTAAATATGTGGAATATGAAATTTTGAACTTTCGTTATCTTAAATTTTTAAATTCATAAAGTTTAGATCCTAAATTCGACTCATAATGTTTTAACACTAAGTATATCCCAAAATATCTTGACGCTCAAAGGTCGTTGCACGTGCTTTTCAACATTTAAGTATTTTTAGGTAATGAAAATTAACCTATTTGGAAAAGTCGTTTTCCTATCAGTGACACAATGAGCAAAAGTGTCCGCCATTGCCCACATAACTTATTGTGGTGTTCGTTTGAAAATCAATTTAGTGCCTAGTCATACTCTGAGCTTAATCAGTTGTACATTCTATATGATTCAATTCTTGTTTATATCTGATCTCTTATAAAACAATAAGAGAAGAAAAAGACAGAAAAGTATAGAGAAGATTCTTATTTATTTTGGGTCAATTACAATGGAATAGGGGCCCCTCTATTTATAGGGAAAAAGTGACTTAATCACCAAGTAACAAACCCTAAGATCTCTCTAAAATATAGAGATTCACCTTAAATACAATTCTATTTATGTCACTGCTCCTTGAATGTCTATTCAACAGATAATATGTCTCGTTAAAACCTTAACTAAAATAAAACCCATTGAAAAAAAATTCTAGTGAAGGAAAAAGAGTACACATGTTTAGAAATACGCTTTTTGGTTGCCTCGTTAAAAAACTTGTAAGGAAAACTCAGTGGGACAAAACCTTGTAAGGGAAAAGGAGTACAACGCATATTCACTCCCCCTGATGAGAGCATCAATTCACATCTGTAAGTCTTCGCATCCCAATCTTGTACGCTAGCTTCTTGAAGGTTGACGTCGGTAGAGATTTGGTGAACAAATCAGTCATATTATCACTTGAACGAACTTGTTGCATATTGATATCACTATTCTATCCCCTTTTATGAACCCCCTTCAATTGAGCTATGCCATGTTGCATTGTCTTCATACAAAATTGTGGGTAGCTTGTCACACTTCAAATCATATTTTTTTTCTCAAATAAGATGTATTGTAGACCTCAACCATATACATTCTCAACTTGATTCATGAATAACAACTATCTCAGCATGATTTGATGAAGTAGCTACGATTGATTGCTTAGTCGATCGCCAAGATATGGCAATGCCTCCACATGTAAACACATAGCATGTTTGAGATTGAGCTTTGTGTGGGTTGGATAAATACCTAGCATCAGCATAACCAACAAGATCGGGACTGCAATCATTGCCATAAAATAAGCCTATATCGGTAGTTAGATACCGTAATATGTGTTTGACTCAATTCCAATGTCTCTTTGTAGGAGCAGGGCTATATATTGGCAAGACATTAACTGAAAAAGTTATGTCAGGCCTTGTAGTATTAGCAAGATACATTGGTGTACTAATTGCACTAAGATATGGTACTTCAGGACTAAGTAGCTCTTCGTTATTTTCTTGATGTCGAAACGGATCCTTATTCACATCAAGTGATCGAAGAACCATCGGAGTACTTGATGGATGTGCTATATCCATGTAAAACTATTTCAATACATTTTATGTGTAAGTAGATTGATGAACCAAAATCTCGTTTGCCAAATGTTCAATTGTTACAGTTCTATATTGATGTAATAAACTATTAACCTTTCTGAAATATATAAACAAAACAGAAAGTTAGTAATACTTGTTTAACGAAATAAATTCTGGAAAAACAGTATAAGAATAAATCGAGCCCACTGAATACACAGTGTGTCCTTAAAAAAATTATTCTCCTTAAGTACCCGAGTTGCTGGAATATATCCTCCCAGGATAGAACGATTTAACTCACCGGAGTGTTGGTACCAAAACGCCGATGAACAGCGAGCCACTCGAAGGCTGTAAAATACACTGGAATTTTTGTGCAGAAGAAGAAGAAGCTCAAAAAATTTCGTAAGGAAAGATTCTGGGATTCAAACTCTATTTATAGAGTTGCTGGCATTGTTTCTGAAAAGGTTTGCAACCTTTCAGAATCAGTTATGGCTGTTGGAACAGGGTTGTTTGAAATATTGCGGGAAAATAGATTTAAAATAATTCAAAAAAGAAAATGGGCCTGACCGGACCGGGTCGCGGGTCATGAGTTATTCCGGATTGAATTTTTTATTAATTATTTAATTAATTAATTAAATAATTGAAAGGAATTTTGTCCAAAAAAATTAATCAATCAATCTTTGACCAAATCCAAATCCAAATCTGAATCTGAATCTGAGCCGAGCGAGCGAGCGACGACGACGGTGCGAGGCTTGCCTTCTTCTCAACTCTTTAAGAGCTAGAAGAAGAGCAATTATATATATACCCATCAAAAGCATTTTCTTCCTCCAATATGGGACAATGTCCCTTTGCCAAGGAGGGAAACTCAAATATTTCATTTTTCCTCCATTTCTCATTCACCCTCTTTAAGCTACACAAGCTTAAAATTCCAACAATTCCCCACATGAATGGGGAATGGCTATAAAATAAAGGAATGCACGGACGCGTGTGTGTTTTACATGCAAGAATTAATTACATTCGGATAAGTAGGTTTTCCTTTGAACTTTCCGTAGTGAACTTATATCGGATATACTCGATCAATCGGTAGATTTGATATCTTTGAACCGTTGCGCTTTGTTGTATAACTTGACAACATAAGTCACACAATCAATCCTTAACCATCTATGGTTCTCACGGTTGTATTCGTTTCAGCCATGAACACCGCCTGGTTTCATGAGTGCTTAGAGAATGGGCCTTTACTTTCATTCCCCTTGAAGCGGCTTACACTTCACACTCACATAAGTGATTTCTAAATGTGTAATCCTATAGACACACTATCTGGTCATATCCTGCCAGACTTAGCAAATCATTAAAAAACTTTTAAGTTTTGTTGACTCATAAAAAAGCCTTAATGCTTTACCTCGATTTCTGAACATTGTCTTCATCACGAGAATGGGTTGAGTTATTTGACAATGTTGAACCGTCATTCATAACTTTGTTTGATCTCTTTGAACCTAGCTCGTGGGATCTCCAGTCTGCTAGGTAGAGTTACCGTCATGATGACTTGTCCTAGACCTTAACCCCATTCCCTTTGATGATCTTTCAACTGCCTCTCTAGATAGGCCTTTTGTAAGTGGATCCGACACGTTATCTCTTGACTTTATGTAGTCAATTGTGATAACACCACTAGAGAGTAGTTGTCTAACGATATTGTATCTCCGTCGTATATGATGAGATATTCCATTATACATAACGCTCCCTGCCCTGCCTATTGCCGCTTGACTATCACAATATATACAAATAGGTGCCAAAGGTTTGGGCCAAAATGGAATATCTTCCAAGAGATTCCGGAGCCATTCAACTTCTTCACCGGCCTTATCTAAAGCTATGAATTTAGATTCCATTGTAGAACGGGCGATGCATGTTTGTTTGGATGATTTCCAAGACACTGCTCCACCCCCAATTGTGAAAACATATCCACTCGTGGATTTAACTTCAGATGATCCAGTGATCCAATTTGCATCACTATATCCCTCGATCACGGAGGGATATTTGTTATAATGCAAAGCGTAATTTTGGGTATGTTTGAGATACCCCAAAACTCGTTTCATTGCCATCCAATGTATGTGATTGGGATTACTTGTAAACCGACTCAGTTTACTAATAGCACATGCTATATCTGGTC